AGGAAATAAACTTGCTGAAAAATAGAGTTTTGCAACGTTTAACACAAAATCTACATCTTTTACTCACTCTGTTACATAAGCAACACAGTAGGCCTACAGTAACAGACACTGCAACGAACACAGCAACAACGCAGGTAAACCCATTCATCGCAGTACATATACCTTTGGTACCGGCAGTGTGGGTATGGTCGCGGTAGAAGTAACCGTTCTCTGGGAGGCAATAGCCACGTTGTAGTTGTAGTTGTTGTGGGCCATGTCCGGCTTGTTTATACTGGAAATTGGCGCAGATCTTGAAGCAGTTGGGGCGGGCTCAGTGGCGTTGCCGCTGCTAGGTCTCTGGGAGACCGATCCATTTCCAGTAGAGAACACTGAGATACTCGTGTTATTGGTATAAGAGGAAGGGACGTGAGGTGTTAAAACTATCAGTATGGCGGAAACAGTGCACAAAACAACGCATGTATCCATTGGCTGAGAGCGATCTGAAAGATTAAAACAAAATGCACACATGTGTGAGGAAATTTACCACGGTTGCCTTTTGCAAAACTAATGGGTATGATTTTGGTTTTAATTAGTTTCAGGAGGGTGGTTTCGATAAATTTCATCATACCGTATAAACCTGCTATTGTAGGACAGAATGCCATCAAAGATAATAGTTAAGTTAGCCATTGATATGCAAATTAAAATGTACACATAACTGGAATTGGACTGTTATTTGGGTTAAATATTAAAAGTCATGTCGATATTACAGGCAGATTGTTGATACACGGTAGTTGTACTACCGATGATGACCTACATTATGTCTTACCTACATTAGGTCTAATTCAAGGTTAAGAGTTTGATCTGAATGCGTGGGCTATCTCCTGGACCAGTGGCGGATTTAGAGGGGGTCGATTTCACCTCCGATTTCTGGTCCTCTCTTGAAATTAAATTGTTCACTAGCTGATTCATAGTTACCATCATTCTCTGAAACTCGATCGACTGTGCGATTTTAACAAACACTTTTTACCCAAAACGAATGAGGTCACTTGATTTTGTGTCCTTGCTGATGTTGTACTGTCCGTATCATGTGCTACTAATTTCTGTTCACTTTGACGTTAAGCTAATTATTTATCTGGTTTGTCAGGATAATATGACTATACCTTAAACATAAAGGTTTGATTCTTCCACCCTGATATCAAAATGGACGCGTACCACTCGGTTTCACATCAAATGAAGTGCGTCGGTTGAAAACTCATGATGACAGATTCACCTCGAATAACTTCCTGGCCGCTGCTTACCTTGTCATCTTTGTTTACCTTAATGATTTAAAAGCCGTAAAAGTAAGCCGAGCCGCTGCAATCTAGCTTAACATGATTACTTTGTTTACGTCGATCGACCTACATTCCTGACAAAAACAGATAACACATAAATTAATAAAATGAGTCTCGGCCTCAACTACAGTGGAATATTTCTTATTATTTTAGTGCAGATTAATTTTGTTTGGCTTAATAATAAAAAATATGTCATTGAGTTATAAAAATATCCAGTCAGATGCCACCCAAAGAAAGAACACCCTCGGAAAACCATATCAACAGTTTGATGACAGTATGAAGTTTAAGCTAAGATATTTTAGAAAATGAAAGCCTCCGGACAGTGATATGCTACACATACAAAGAGCTCATTTCTGTTAATCATGAAAAGTGTTCAAAATAGGACATGACCTCACGCTGCCGCTTGCAGCGTCCTTATCCTGCGTTGCATTCCCACTGACAAGTTTCTCATAGTATGGGTGGGGGTATCATTCCACGCATTGATAATTGACTGTCGGACTTCATCACGATTTACCGGTTGGTGGTCATAGCTATTACATATGCGTGTGATTTCCGCTCCCATTATTTACAATTGGTTCATATCTAGGGGGTTAGCAAGCCAGGTCAGTTGCTGGACCCTCTTGGTTATGAAGAAAAGCAGTGCCTCGGTGAGCTCGGTGATGCATTGTCCTCTTGGTATACGTCTGTCCCTTGCTCATGCAAAGGGAAGCATCGTTTGCTGAAGGAATTTTCTTGCTCAAATGAACCACTAATGAACCACTAATCAATGTGTTATTATTACTGTTTATATGTAGCAATTAATATTTACCTCTTAAGTTCAAGACACAGTAGCTTTTTGGGTTCACCTTTGAAAATCAAAACGTTCACTGATGAAAATGACAACAAAAGATTTTCTGTTGTAGATAGTGTTTAAAGATTGTAGTCTTTGTCTGCTCAGTCATGCTATAGAATCGTAAAGTGTAGTGTATATAAACTCAAGAAAACACAGATAATATATAGATCAAATGTACATTTATTAGTACTAAATATACAGTGTACAATAACCTCTAAGCACACGATGTTTTAACATTTTGATTAACTTAGCAAAATCTCTGACTGTGTCGGATATATAAACACACTAAAGCATTAAGCACTCTGCCTTATTTGAGTTGACTTGAAGTAATATGATAACGAAGAAATTCTTATCAGATATACACATCTCAGGTAGAGTAATGAAATAAGCTTTTACGTCGAGTATGTGGGATGCTTTGCTCTGCTAACATGCCTGTCCACATTCGTGTTAATGAATTCTAACAAAAACAGTTTTGTATCCTTGATCTAAACCGGCTTTCATTACATAAGGCAGCAATTAAAGAATAGAACAAACACAAGCATGATGTTCGAAATTCGACTGATGACATCATTTATTGAAGGTCCCTGTGATAAACGAAGTCAAGTAGTTTAGTGGTAAACACTGAATGATGTTGAATAATGATTTTTACGTAATGCTTATTCCTGCAGAAATCTCTATTTAATATGCAATTTCCAAACAAATAGTGTGCACACTTTAATTTGCGGGGACGAAACTTGGTAAACTATCTAGCACTTATATAGGAACCTTGGTAAAAACATGCAGCATTAAAATCGAGGTCTCAAGTTAAGTTGTAATAGTAAAACCATCGCCATGAATCAACGTTTGACTACGCCAAACTGATTTATTGGCGATTTGTGTTTTACAAAGTGATTTTTGAAATGCACGATTTTTTAAATTTCTTAAGAAATTAAATAATCTTACTAATTTTTCAAACGAAATGTGGTACCTTACAATTCTTTTTATCACTACCCTGACCTTACTAAGTTGTTGTAAAATCTCACATACAGGTAAAACCTTTTACTAAATGTATATGACCAATAAATTTGATTTAATAACAGTAGAATAGAAAATAAAATCATCAACAGCAAGTAAATGTAAATCTTATATATGTAGATCTAAATCTCCCTGACGAAAATCAAATTTGCTTGAGAAACTAGTAATTAAAAGATATATATGAGCCCTGACTGGTATATTATAGCACTAGTTGGTGGAGGTAAATTCAAATAAGCCAAAAATCCACCAGAAAAAATTTACCTTGGAAGGTTCGTTTAAGCATGAATTTTAATGAAGCAAGTCCAAATATATTTTGCAGACAACACCATGCCGCAAAGTTACATGCGCACTAACCATTATGGGTGTAAGTAATTCAAACATACATGTATCAAACGTACATGTATATAGAGGCAAAACCTCATGTAAATTTTATACATAGTACTTATTACTTTTGATAAAATCTGGATTAAAAATACGTTAATATTGACATTTATCATTTTGATGAAAGAATTAAGATACTGTACATGTAATACAAAGTGAAAAATGAATGTTGCAATCAATGTTTCATTCACAATAAAACCTTTTGTTGATTTTCTAACTATGAAAACTAAAATACCTTTTGTTTTGACAATAAAGATTTTTTCTAAAATCTATATATAATTGTGTCCGATCTACTGTAGAAGCTACAAACATATGGTACAACCCGCCTATACAGCTGTGTCCCGTAATCCTCTGCCCGTCAGCAATCTACGTGTGGCTGAATATAATAACTTCGCAGAAATAACTATCATTCAATTTCCAATGTAAAACCAATTTTTTCCAAATTTTTACAAGGGCGAAATCTTACCCTTAAGTCTCTTATGAGGTCAATCTTGAATAAAAGATTAAAACCACTTGGCTACTGAAACACTATATTGCGGCGCTTATTTACGACTTACATCCATTATGACAACCTAATTTAATTAGCATTATGCTGAGAAGAATTCCTTCAGTGACCACCTAACCGTCCAGTCATCAGCAGACGACCGGGTGTCTCTCACTGTTTTGTAAACCTTCAGGAACAGTTCGTCAAAAGGCAGTCTGGCGATGAAGTACGTCATAGGAATACCTACAGTGGCTCGTATAGGAGGCGGCCTGGAAATAGATTCATTAAATGTATAAGATCGCTATTTTCTTTAAAATACATATTTACAACTGGAAATTAATTTCCTCCCAAGTAAAAGAGGAAAAAAGCACACTCATACATTTCTCACGTAGATGTTTAAACAGTTTCATCAGTCTGATACCTAACAGCAATAAAATTCCTTTTGTTACATTGCTCCATGCAGTTCAGATTCACGTAGATTAACATTATAAAAAGTGGATATTTTAACAGAACTTAATTTTTTAAGATAAAACGCTAGTAAAAGTCTATTCGGTATATATTATGTTGCAAGTTATACAGTTTTCTGTCTTTTCAATAACTTTGATATGTTACTATAAACATATTAGTTGAATTAATCGTGTTTTACATCCTTCTTCGCAAACTTTGAACATTAGGTTATCCACCTAAGATGTCCGTAATGATGAGCTAAAACCACCTCATTCATAAATTTCCCAAACATGTATGAGTATATTCAGTGCTAAACACTGAAAGTGATGTTCATATTTGAAACATTAAGAATATATCATTCTTACTTATCTTTCAGATGGACGTCCACATTTCGTATGAATCGAAGAAGTCCACATATGGTAGACCTGTAGCCATTTCTCATTGGTTTTGCAAATTCGTCATAGACAGTTTGGTCGAGCAGGTCCTTCTGTAAAATATTATTATATTGAACTCAGTATATTTGTCTCGTTGGTACAATACGCAGATGGTGAAATAGATTTCCCATTGCCCCTTGTGTTGTGATGGTTAAATAATAAATCGTTAATGAAAAGACGAAACGTCACATAACATTAATAAATTTTTATTTTCTTTACATTATTATTTATGACTATATTTTTGTTCCATAGATATGATATGGACCGAACTCTGCAAAACAAACCATTGAAATCACACTGAAATTGTTTTTTGTGAAATTATTTCATTGAAATAAAATGTTATATAAAATATTGAAATTACGGATTTTGCCTTCTCTGTGCCAATATACATGTATTACTCTAAGAGCTTCTATGCATATACCTGTACGTGCGTCTTCAATAAAACTAAGACTGAGATGAACTGTGATTCATTATTTCACGGGGACACTTTTTCGTGTACACTTAGGCTGTTGTACAATAATGTAGGGGGATAGGAATTCCCTACACGAAAATACATTTTATTTGACAACTGGTTCGATTACATTTCATCAAAATGCCCAGTACAGGTTGAAAAATGAAAAAAAAATTAAGTACTGGGCAATCGGGATTTGTCATTTTGGTCAGTTTTTGGAAGGCAATGATATTGGTACCGGAAAAAGGGTCGCCTCCATAGACTTTCATCGTCCCTTCCACCACTCTAAATTACCTTATGTAATCTTAAGATTACATGTATGCGCCAGTAAATCCATGAAAATGCACATTTAACTACAAAGACGCTTAGTTGTTAATAATAAAACAGAAATACCTACCCAGTGTGCTACTGTGTTGAAAACGGATACCGTCAACCCGTCCAGTGTCAACGTTACGGAATGTGGCTGTTGTTTCCAACTGAAATAAATTCACTGGATTGGCAATAATTCTCTCATTATGTCCATGAAGTACCGAACTAAAAGGGCTAAAAGCAGAAGACTATCAAAAATTTTTAATATAACGATCTAAAAAGTTACAGAACCATTTCAGAAACGTTTAACTTAAAGTTAAAGATAAAGAATAATGCACTCTGGCACGTAAAGGACAAGATTTATATAACATGAACCAAAATACTGATGATGTTGCATTTCAACATTGTGTCACAGCTAATTCTCTCATCAAACATATAAAGTGATTAATATCCCTCTGTTTTACCTTTCTTTCACTTCCTTCTCGTCCCCCAACACACCAAGAAAACGATACCTCATATCCGCATTCCAAATGAACGGGTGCCTGTTAATGAGAGGTATATCAATATTTACTTTATGTTTACAATGTAACTCCCTGTACCTTATTTCTTTATCAGTGCATTAACACATTTTATACGTATTTAATTGACAATATGCGTTACACATATCTAGCTAAATATACATTAATAGATATTATTTTTCCACTTGTTGATAGTGAAAACGATTCTTTACCTGAAAAGTGTGCAAGTAGCTGTAGTTATTTTCTGCCTACAATTCTATTTTAAAAAGGGGAAAGAGGAACCATAGAGAACTCACGCCAGTGCCTCCTCCATGGTCGGCCTCAGCTCAGGGTCTGGCTGCAGCATCCAGTCCACTAAATGTTTTCCAACGATGTCGTCCAAGGCTGAAAGATCATGTTTTCCATCTTGAACGTTCTTGTTACACAGAAACACGTCGGCCTCGCCATTTGGCATAAATGGGTGTATGCCACCTGTTAGTGTGTAGTAGACTAACATCCCGGCCACCTGCAAGGGGAACACAACAATAAACCGTTTTATGAATTAAAATTTGACACGTGTACATGTATCTAGGTTTTTCAAAATGCAAGGTTCCAGAATGGATAAAAAAATCTCCTTTCTATGTGTGTAATTGTCAAAATGCAATTAATTGTGCTTCAGATTGTGAACAAATCTATTTTAATAATAAGTATGTCCATGATATCATCATGAGGATATTTTTAAAAAATCTATTGTAGTATCCTGTAACTTTTTTCACCTGGATATCCGCACTTTTCTTGTATTTCAGTTTCTCGTATTTTGTATTTCCACTGGCACTATCCAATATCTCTTTTGCTACCCAGCGGTTTGTTCCTCAATATACAACAAAGATATCTGAACCACGATTGGACAATTGCAAATACAAATTTATGTTCAAGCTTGGTATTTTAAAAATTTAAAGGTAAATGTAAATTGACAATGAGTAATATAGTTGAGAGCTTTTGTTCATTCTTCTTCTACAGTTAAATATCTTCTGCATAACTTGGGGTCTAAAATCACTGAACTTTACCCGAAACACCTTCCACGATAGGCGGATAAAGAGAGACAGAGAAACACAAGGTGAGAAAAATATCAGGCCTACCCAACTACCAGACTCGGCACCGAATGATCCTGAATTCACCAGTAGATTGGACTACACTACGCGTTTTCAAGGTGTGCGTCAGTAGGCACTTCTCAGTATCATACCCCGGAACAAATTTTGAGATGAGATGCACTACTTTCCAATCCCGCTGAGAATCATCACTGTCACATAGCGTACTAGGCAAGAGCGGTGTCGCGTCTGATACTTCGAAGCGCGTACTGATACACACCTTGAAAACGAGTAGTGTGGTCCGATCTACCGGTGAATTCAGGATGATTAGGTGCTGAGTCTGGTAGTTGGGAAAGCCTGAATATTATACCTTTAGCGGTAGTGTACAAAGAGCTTTGGTCATCTGGGAGGGTCACACTAATACCAAAGTCAAATAATTTTACCCGGCGTTTGACATCTATAAGAACGTTATGGGGCTGGAAATAACATAGTCCGTAATAAAACTGTTATCCCTTAGTCTGTTGTTTATTTTTCAGTTTTTTTATCCAATCGCTACTCCTTTTTACTAGCATAAAACCTTTTAAAATAAAAATTCCATTTGCAACTAAGAAAAATGCATCGATTAGTATTTCATGAATAATCCGTGTTAAATACCGATAAATAGCTGACAACTGAAAAGGTATGTACCTTGATATCCATGTGAATAACGTTATATCCAGTGTGTAAGGTTCCAAGGGTTTCCAAGATCTGCCGTACGAAATCTCGAGAGATGCTGCTTTGATTTTGTTTATACTCGTTTGTAGATATGAACTCATTGAGAGTAAATTCCCCAAGCTCAAGAATCAGGTACAAAAAATCGTCGTCCTTGGCACTATCATAGTACCGGATGATATTTGGGGAATTACATTTCATTAACAGGGCTTTCTCTTTCTCAAAGTTCTTTGACATAGACATTGGGAATCTTTTTAGGGCAACCTCTTTGCCATCACGCCCAATACCCAGAAACACTTCAGTTTTGTTCCCGCTGAAAAAAATATATTAATTATTTTGAGGAAACTTTAACTGTAAATAGGAGGGATGGCCCCCGCCACGGTCAGAGCATTAAATGAAAAAATGTTCAGTAGAAACTAGATATTTAATTGTCATTTATATTTCATTATAGAAATGCAGTAATAGAAAAGACACTTAAAACTACATCATCATAATCAGAAAGTACTATAGCATAAAACACAGTCCAACAATCCAAACTAAAATATGTATATCATCCCATTTTTTCGTTTTCTCTTGTTCCCATTAACGGAAAATTCTTCTTTCAAAAAGAAGTAACAACCATCAAACCGAATAAGCCGTATAGCAGTTTTCAAGTACACCAAAATAAAATTAAAAATTAAGTTGAAAATTATTAAATACAGCACACCACACTTAACTTACGATCCAATTCTAAACATGTCGCTCTTTTTGCTGAAACATACGTTGTTCACTTCCTTCAAGTTCCCGTTGCTAAGCTTCAGAAGATCTTCAAGGAATTGCTTCCACCTGACACTGACAGGTTTCCAGTTTGAAGAATACTTTAGGGCAATCTGTCCCTTCTGCTGAATTAGCGGACTTCCTGACTCTGACTGTTCTACAGAATCACAGATTAACCCGTCATTGGCTGAATCGTTTCCGTCAATCTGTAAGATATGGTGAGAAACAGGAATGTCTGTTTCTTTCTTTTTCCAGCACCCCTGGAAAGAAATGTAACTTCTGTATCACAATACGAATTTACTGAAAACTTACTTTTATTATATTTTGTTACAATTGAGTACTTGTTTCGTTATTCTTATTTGGTCATTTATAATTATCTTATAATTGAATAATGGAATAATGGTACATGGTTCTTAAGGGCAAATATTTTATGCATTATTTTAATATCTTAACGTCAAATTCATTACTTCTAGTGATATTACTTCTAGGGACCTAAAAAAGAGGGAGACCATGATTTTGAAAGGTAATAATGAGTACATTGATTACCGTAAAATGTCCTATGCAACGACAAACTTTCCTTGAGCATTTATATAATAGTCCACACAAAATGCAGATAGCAATCACACCTGCAACTAATAAAATAATTAACAAAACAATATCTCCACCCTTATTTTGGGTTTGAAGCGTGGTCTCATTAAAAATCACGGTGGTGTTTGGGGTATAATCTTTGGTGTGGTTAGCCTTGTGGATCTTGGTGGTGTTGTCGTTGTGAGCCCACTGGTAGACCGATCCATTTGCAATTGATGACGCTGCTGCTGTCACGATTCCCGTGCTACTGGTCTCTGTGGATGTGACATGGGGCATTAAAACCAATACAGCAGTACTTCCGAACAGAACACAACACATCTCCATTGCCTGAGATTATTCCTGAAAGGGGAAAATAGCAACTGTACTATAGAAGTACTCCGAGGACTGCACTTGCCTTGTTCTTTTTCCTGCTTAAATATGCAGCTTCGGGAGATGGGTATTAAGTATATCGTATCTTTTTATACAATGTACACTCTTGCTTAAATGATGGAACGTTCCAACATAACATTGTATCTGTAACCCTAATTATTTCGAACTAAGGCAAAATGTATAATTTAACAGCTCATCAGTTTTTTAATATAACGTAATGTTCTACCTTAAATATGTTTGAAATCAAATTTTGACACAATTGAAACCCAACCACATGTCACCATGTAGTTTCAAGTATAAGTGAAATACCAAAGAATAGCGTTTCATATTACCTGAGAATACTTGAACTGGTATTTTCTGTTAACTTTCTGTGCTGTATATAACCATAAAATTAAAAAGACAACGCCTAAGATCACAAAAGTTACACAAAATCAGCATTAGGATGCGCTCGTTAAAGATCACGTGTCTAATAGCGTTTGTGTCTTCCGCGCACTGCAATTATCTACAGTAGGCAGTGCGACACGTACGTCTTTTAAAGGGATTTTAATTCCGTTTAGTGTGATATCAACCCATTCTTCCTAAAAAAAACTTAGCAGAATTGGTCAAAATTATTTGGGGGTTGTTATTCCCCTGCATTCCACACTCCATTACATGCCACAGGTGCTCAATAGGGTCAATATTAAGGCTGGGTCACACTGCGCTTGCAACCTTTTGGCAACCTCTTTGCAACCTCAGTCGCAAGGAGGTTGCCCTAGGTTTTAAAGTGGTCGCATTAGGTTGCAAACAGGTCGCCTGCGATCGTTGACACACGAAGGCCATTTTTTTTGCACCGACAACCAGTGCGACTGATAATGAAAACGATTGGTAACTGAGAGGTTGCCGATAGGTCTCCTCTTGGTTGCCAGTAGGTCGCTGTAACCAGACTAAAACCAGTCGCATACCACCTGTAACTGCACGGTCGATTGACGGTCTTTAGTCGCTTAGTTGCAAACAGGGTACTAACCGGTTGCAAGCGGTGGGCAGCAGGTCGCAAGGAGGTTGCAGTTGAAACTTCATGGTCGATTAACGGTCTTTAGTCGCTTGGTCTCTGACAGGTTTCTTACAGCTCGCATGCACTCGAAAACATGTCGCGAGAAGGTCGCAAGCAACCGTGATAAAATAAGCGTAGGATGGTGGCCACTAAATATATAAATATATTTTTCATTTATATCATGCCATTAAGGCTTTCTAAATACCTTGACAAAAATCGTTATTTCTCAATTAAAACGTAGATTGTATTTGTTGTCATCCTTTTAAATTTATTTACAAGGTTTTCATAAGTATTTTTTTT